GGCGGGGTAAGGCGGGGTGAGCATTATTGCAACATTCCTTTCAGGGGTTAGTTGAGGCTCGCGCACGGACTGCCGCCGCCACCGTAAAGGCGCATCGGGGCGTTGCGTGGCGGGGCGTGGCAGGGCGGGGCGTGGTGGGGCCGTGCGGGGTGGGGCGCGGCAGGGCGTTGCAGGGAACACCCTGCACCCATATTGAATTCCCCGCCTCGCCGCACGTCCAGGACACGGGCAGCAGGGACCCTCCTCGGCTATCAGGACATCGCGCGCGGGAACACGACGGGGTCCCGCCCCGCCGCGCCTCACACCACGCCCCACCACGCCCCGCCACGCCCCACTGGACCTGCCCCACCGCGCAGCCCCATGAGATGCTCTGCACCACCGGTTTGACTCACTGGCCCCTAGAGAGGCCGAGAGCCGAGCCCTGAGCTGAACATGGCGTCGGCTGTCAGTGCAGGAGCGAGGGTTGGGCTGGATGAGAGAGATAGTAAAAAGAAGGCGGGGTGGAGAGAAAAAACCGGTTTTTGGTCGAAGAGTAAAATTGGCAAAGAACAATTTCCGCTTACGACAAGCATGCCAGCAGCGCTTACCTCAGACGACATAACGATCGACTGCGTTTTCTCTCTCATATTGCTGGTCGTCGGCACACTGACGGCGTGCGGCCCTGTCTGTGCGGGAAAAGCATTTTGGATGGGACGGTAAGTAGGCGTCTCAGATCGACCTCGCGGTGCGGGGGAAGTGGCCGTGGCGGCCGCAGCTGAGACCCGCGCAGCCCGCGCAGCATTGGCATTCCAGGCAAGCCCGGCTACTCTCTCTCTCTCTCTCTCTCTCTCTCTCTCTCGCTCGCTCGCTCGCTCGCTCTCCCGGAAGGCCGTAAGCCAGCCCCCCCGCAGCTCACTTCACTTCCGCATGCCGGGCGTTCGGACGGATCCCCGATCCCTCGTCGGGATAGGGACGCGGACGCACACTGCCAGAGCGTCGCCAGCGCTCCCCATCTCTCTTTCTCTCTCTCTCTCTCTCTCTCTCTCTCTCTCTCTCTCTCTCTCTCTCTCTTCGCCCGCTCGCTCGCTCCGCACACCGCACACCACAGAGACTCACTCTCTCCACAGATGCGCGGGTACGAGGGATCTCCTCGTAGGAGGAGACAAAAAGAAAAACGCAGAATAGGTCGTGTCAGGGAAAGAGAGGCAGATAGAGAGAGGGGGAGTGAGAGAGAGACACACACACACAAAAAGGAAGGTAAGAAAGACATGACGTTACACACGGGGGCTGTGGGGAATACGAACGCCTCACCGCAAGGCTCGGCGCGCAACGCCACGGTGTCCTGGGGACACCTGGGGATATTTCCACACTTTGTCAACCTCTCCCATGCGATCCGAGTGGGAGAGAGTGTAGGGGTGGAAGCAGGGGATGGAGGGGGATGAACGCTCTCTGTCGTCATCAGTCTTGCACGAGAATCAGGGGCGAGTGCGCCGTGAAAGTAGAAAAAAAAGAAGGC